AAAAAAAAAAAAAAAAAATAAAAGAAAAAAAGCATGCGCATCATATATTGAATAAAATATAATTTAAAACAAACAAAAAAAATTAAAAAAAAAAAGATAAAAGGTTGAATGGCGTTCAATCCAGTGAACGGGTTAGTGGGCCCCCCCTTAATGAATGATCTGCATCCGAATGAACAGGCGAGGGGGCGTTTAAACGGGAATTTAACATAGCTGATGCAGATGCTCTTAAGTATTTAAATCATTATTATATTAATTAATAATTAAAAATATTAGTATAGATGAGTATTAAATTATAAATTTGACATTATAGATATGAAAAAGTAAGGGTATTGTAGGCATATCATATTTTTACAGATTCATTGGCTCTTTTATAATAGTATTTTAACATAGCTGATGCAGATGCTCTTAAGTATTTAAATCATTATTATATTAATTAATAATTAAAAATATTAGTATAGATGAGTATTAAATTATAAATTTGACATTATAGATATGAAAAAGTAAGGGTATTGTAGGCATATCATATTTTTACAGATTCATTGGCTCTTTTATAATAATATAGAAAATCACTAATTTCTAGAATAAGCATTAAATATTTTAACAAAAGGTTCTAAAAAAATTGTAATAAACTTGCAAAATAGCCAAATAAATAGCCGAGAAGTGGGACCATATTGAGAGAGCAATTTAAACATACATACATGTACAAATAAAGGGAAATGTTGCAGTCTCGTTACGGAACCATTCTGTTGAGGTTTGTAACTGTTAGATTATCATGTAATCGTCGAAAATAGTTGATCAAACTGTTACAAACCGCGACGGAATAGTTTCATAACGGAACCGTAGCATTTCCACAAATATAATGAAAAGAAAAACCCGAAATGAACTTGGTTATTTGGATTCGATCGTTTCGACTGTTCCCCATTTTTAGACAAATGAAAACAACAGCCCTAATCTATATTCCGTTGTTTAATAATGGAAAACAAACATAATGGGAGAACATTACAGAGAACGAAGCATATTTTCCAGCAATCACCACTTCACCCAGTGGATTCAATAATCATGCTTCCCCATAACACAATTTGCAGAATTATGGCCTACTGAGTGTAATTATTTAACCAAATATTTTTATAAATTACTAATTTTGATACAAAATACAAAAATGCGCACACAAACAAATGCAAAACATCACTAGTATGATCTTTAAGTTATCGAGAAATACTACATCCTGTTACGGAAACATTTTTTCGTGATTGGAAACCGTTAGATCATCATGCCGTCATGGATAGTTGATCTAACGATTACAAACCCCGACTGTATAGTTCCGAAACGAAACCGTAGAATCTCCCTAAGTTATCTCTTTCTCTTACACACACACTTGAGTTTATTCTGCTAATCAAACGGGACAAGGATCCTCAGGTCGAAACCCAGACAAGATTATCCGGTGGGAAAAAATGGCAAACGGGCGGGCCCCCTGGCTCAATCCCCAGCACCCGGAATGCCACGTGGTCCGAATCCCACTCCCGCGTGTCCATGTGGCACATAGCCACAGCCTCAACTCGCTCCCCGTCTTCCCCCGAAAGCGAAACCTCGTACAGCTTGTTATCGCTGTCCTGGCTATGGCAGTAGAAAACTGCGTAGGGGTAAGGCAACACGTGGCAACCCACTATCCTCCGCGCTGATATCTCCACAGGCGCCTCGATAACCGTGTAGTTCCTCAAAACCGGCATGGGGCCCACGGGGTAATTCGTCGTGATCACGCGGAATTCGGATCGAAAACCGAAGATGGAGCGGAGGGAGTCGAGCATGGACTCGAGCGACGTGGCACAGAACTTGGACTCCCCGGTGATGGGTGGGGACTCACAGTGGTCGAGGGTTGCCCGCATGGCAAGGGCCTGTTTGGATGCAGCGGTTAATGAGAATAGCCGGAGGATGCTTGGGAGTTGTGAGGATGAGAAAGGGATTGAATCGGATTCTTGACGGGAGAGTAGGCGTGGGGAGGTTGAAGGCTCGTTTGTCGGGAAATAGAGGCGGAGTTTGGTGCCAGTTTGGAGGGTGTTGTGGTGGAAGAAGACGCTAAGTTCGGGGTCGTTTTCGGATGGTAGTGTTTTTTGATCGTGTTGTGGAGCTTGATGGCCGTGTTCTCGGTTTGTGTGGCTGCTTGTTGTTTTGAGACACTGCAGATTACCAAGTGTTGAGTTAAATAATGTGTGTATAGTGATTATATACATATATTGTTGGGTACGTATTCGCCCGTCAAAGGCCCACAGGAAGTGGCGACAATCTTTAGAATTTTCGTAACACCATTTTTCCATTTACTTTTTAAACCATCATCTTCTAAAGAAGCACATATTATCAAATTACAGCACAAATCAGAAGCATGCCGAACTTTCTTAAAGATTAATTAACACGTAACCAGAATCAAATCACAAGCAAACATCACCAAGAAAAACATCTTTATTTATATACAAAATAATGAAAACTTAATTAAAACAAAAAAAAAAAAAATTGTGCTAGGTTTTTTACCTTAATGAAAAAGACCAAGCAAAAAATTAGGAGGGGAGTGAGCTTTGAACCCATAGGTCGATATCTTGATTCCTTTTTTTTTTTTTCCTTCTATTAATTTCTGATGAAATACTCTCTATGCCAAGGAAAAATTATGGTATGATGATCCAAAGAGGGGGTGGATTGATTATAACGTATAATAATATATTGGAAATAGTGTGTGTCCCTGTTGTTTGGTTGGAGAAATAACACCACTTCAAGAAGGGACGAGGGTTTATTTCCTTTTTGTTTATTTTGGTAGCCAACCACCGTATTCGAACCTATGTCTCGACTAATTCGTTTGTCGACTCAAGTCGCACACCTGGTAGTGATGTGAGTTAGTCTCCCAACAAAATTTTTTCGCAATTACAAGGATTCGAACTCGATAAAACGACATCAATTTGCTTACCACTAGAATCACCCTTTGTTTGTACTTTTTTTTTTAAATAAAATAATTCAACTCGGGTTTTTTCATGGTAATAAATGTCAGAAACGTCCCCTGAATAAAGTTTCAGGCTGAGTTCATTTAACTAATCCCAACTTTCTTAAAGTCAAACCCGATATTAATTCGTATTTTATTGGTGCGAAGTCAAAAGATTAAATGTGCACATGGGGGCCACAAAGTCAGAAGATAAGTTGAGAAGAAGAAATGCACTATATTTTTTGCATGTTTATGTAATCAATGAATCAAATGCTGGTAGTGGATACAAATTGACGTTCAAGCAGAAATCTTTGTAGCTATCTTCTTATTTTTTTTCTTCTTTTTTTTTTCTACTTTTTTAATCATTTAACTGGACGTAAAACAAAACCAAAAATTTTTATTTTTAGTTCAAGTTGGTCATCATCTAGAACCCGAATTTTGAAAAACACGTGTTAATCATTAGGCGGGTCGTTTCATCATATTATTAATAAAAAAATTGTTATATTTCAGTAAAAAATCATACGCTAATATATTTCATTAGAAATTGTAACAGATATTTTAATAGTATAGTTTCTGTTGTGTAAATTATGAAGATTGGCAGTAATCGAAGAACCTTCTTCAGTTCTTAGAATTCGGTCAAACACAAGGAATAATTAAGGGAAGTTGACTTGAGTGCTTGAATATATTTTTAATTGGGATTGTTATTTAATAATGTGTGTTTGTTATGGCAGGTCTAAAGAAAGGAAGGCGGGATTTGCTTTCCATATAAGCTAGATGAGTGCGGACTTGGACGCGAGAATAGAAGACCTACCATACCTGGTCATAACTTGGAGACAAAGCTAGAGGAAGACTTACCTAATGCAATTCGAAGATAAAAGGAGGACGAGACGCATGTTGAGGATGACTTTTTGATATTCTTTTGTTTAGTGAAATTTGAATTGACTTTTATATTTTTGGAGTGAAGTGAGAATAGGGGAGATATACTTGTACGAGAGAAAATCGAGAGTGGACGGAGGTTCATTCAAGAATAGTTTGAGGGATTCAAACCAGAAATCCACAAGGGATTTGTGGTCGGATAAGTAGTAGTACAAATCATTGTTCGAGTGGAGTGTAGAGGGAGTCTATACAGTAAATCCTTGAATAATGTTCGGGATATTTGCATTAATGACAGAGATCTGAAGGGAGAGTGGGACGCTCTCCTGAAGGTTCAATTTTCAGTAATACTGCTTCCGCAATTGATTGAATCTTCCTTGATGTCTGTTTGATTAATTTATATGTAACTCTGAATACTTGGTGTACAAGTCTCAAATTTCAATTAGCACCAGAGCGGGTTTTCGTTTGGATTACGAAAGATCTAAGGACTTGTGTTACTGGGCAATCATGAATCAAGAAAGTGGATCGATGTCTAGGCCTCCGCAATTGGATGGTTCCAACTACTCGTATTGGAAATCTATGATGACGATCTTCCCAAGATCGCTTGGAAGAGACACGTGGGAAAGTGTTGAAAAAGGATGAGAGCATCCGGTCATGCCAGAAGCACCAGATCAAGGAAAAGGAGCTCGACGACTACAATTCTTAAACCAAAAGATAACTGGACAAATGCTGAGAAGCTTCAAAAAGAAGCCAACTACTGCGCCTTGTATGCGACCATGATGGCAGTGGATCAAACGAGACAGAAGATGATAATTCAATGCAAGACTGGGAAAGATGCTTGTCGTATCTTACAGCGACAATTTGAAGGTTCAACGGCTGTCAGGGCGTCCAGACTTCAACGGGTGACTCTTGAATTTGACGAAATCAAAATGCAGGATGAAGAAATAATTGATATATACTATGCCAGATTATGTGATCTGGTGAATCAAAGTGTAATGCTTGGAGAAGAAGTCTCTGAGAATCGTCAGGTTCAAAAGATTATGAGAACAGTTGCTCCCAGGTTTAGGAAAAAATGTACAGCCCTTGAGAGCTTCCAAAGAATTGCACCTTTGGATGTTGATGAACTCCTTGGCAAACTGAGGACGTTTGAGATCAACAATAATTATTACAAAGTCAAAAGCAAGGGACTGACTCTCAAAGCTGATGTAGTTGAGGAGAAAGAAGAAAACGATGACGATGAAGGTTCGATGGTGGACGACAGCGAGCTGAAAGAGGCCCTTGCACTCATTGCGAGAAACTACGGAAAGATGAGTCAGAAACTGTACAAGAATAAGTTTGTTGGGAGGAAAGTCAACAATTCCAACAAGAATGCGTTTCAAGACAAGAAGAATAGTGCGACTTGTTATCATCCGACCCGGTAATCCATTTTATCCGCATGAAATCACACGTTAAGAGATTCATCATTGGTGCTACCCTAGCTATAATCACCCCGATTCAGATTTTGACCGAACTCCTTCTCAACCCAAAGAAAACTGACCTGCTCGCTGAAAACCGAAGTCACCGCAAACCGAGGTCATCAAAACCTAAGCAGGTGACGAGGCACCCACACGACCTGTTCTTACACCGTAAGTTATATCATCATTCAAGTGGGCCCTACTGATAGAACCGCCCTCCAAAAAGCCACTTTACATAAAGCAACCTTACACACCTCGAGATATGGGGCCATAAAGATACTATAAATAGAAAATTCTTATTCTTGTACAAGGATTGAACTCTGAACATTTACATATATACAAAAAATCCTGACACCTTTCACCTTGGTTCACCTTGGACCGGGGCCATCGATCTTGTTTTGATGCATGCCTTTTGTTGATATCGATTAAAACACCTTGCTAATCTCATATAAAATTGTTGTTAATAATAATAAAACAACAATTTGGCGCTAGAACGAGGGCCTCATAAGATATTTGAGGTCAATCTTTGAGCTATTGTTCGTCAGCTGCATCTTTTGTCATAACCATGTCCCAGTCAGATCATCGTGGTCATGCATCGAAGGATGGCCATAGTCGAAGCGCTGCTCAATCCGCCAGACGCCCTACGACGGTGCCAAATATGCCTGATTATACCACTTTGTTCCAAAAATCCAGAATTTGCACAAGGTTTTGCCACCTTAATGGCTCAAACTATACCCGGGATGTCGACGACTGTTCCGGGACAATCTGTTATTCCCACGACACTTGCAAACCCACAAATCCCATCGGCACGACGAGGCAGCGATGGGTCCACCTCACATGCGACGTCTCAACCTCGTAGTCGAACGTCACAACCGCATCGAGAAAGAACGGCGCACCAGACTGAAGCCACCCGTGCTCCCCTGGTAATTCCTCGTGAAGAAACTGTCGAAAGTCAATCTGGGCAACCTCGGCAATCTCCACCTCATACACAACCTCAAGCCCATTCATATCCAGCACGGGCGGATCTTCGTCAACAGATAGAGAGAAATCGTTTAGCTCGGCAAGAATCCTCCGAGTTAGAAGTGCTACGACGAAAAATTGCCGAATTAGAAAGTCGGCAAAAAGCGTAAGAAGACACCCCTCGCCGAGCATCTACCTCGGCACAAGTATATTCGGAAGTCGATTCTCCTCTGGCACCTGAGCTCATCTCGGAGCCCGTACCTAAAAAAAAAGTCCCACAAATCAGATTTTATGACGGGACGTCGGATCCCGATTCTCATCTCGGTTATTATACGTCTTAGATGGATCTTTATGGAGCCTCAGATGCACTTTGGCGCCGCATGTTTTCTCTTACTCTAGGGCCCCAGGCTCAATAATGGTACCACTCTTTACCCCCTCATTCCATTTGGAAGTGGCAACAATTGAGGTCGGCTTTCCGATCTCATTTCATCGGGGCCCAAGTATGTTTAGTCTCAAAAGAATCCCTCGCTAACATAACTCAAAAAGATGATGAAAGCGTCAAAGACTACATCGCTCGATTCAACGATCGAGTTGAAAACATGGAACCTTGCCATCCAGAAACCTTGTTTGTTATGGCAATTATCGGATTGAAATCGAATCCTATATTTCGCAGGACGTTATGCCAGAATAAGACAAATACTTTTCAGGAATTTCATGCCCCAGCTCAACAACATATCATCACCGAGGAGGCAATGTCTGTTCCCAATTTTAAGTTCATTCCAAAATCATTTAAGTTGGGGAGCGACGATAAGAAGCAAAACAAATCCTTCACCGGGAAACAAAACAAATCTTACCTAAGAAGTTTTCCTAGGGGGGACGTCAATGATCCTGAAGTCAGAGCGGCCCGAAGGCAGTAGCTAATGATGTGAAATCGGGATATCAAACTGTCTACTCGGCTGGGGCCGCTACGATTTACGAAAAAATTAAAGGAAAGGGCATTTTCCCTGAACCAAAACCGGTTCGGATACCTGAGGATAAATTGGACAAATCGCGATATTGAGACTATCACAAGTCACCGGGACATAATACCGATGAATGCCTGAGTCTGTTAGCTGCCCTGTTAAGGCTTATCAGTAATCCTCAATTAAGGAAATTTTATCGAAATTCCGACATCCATAAAATGGGGTCGAGACGTTAGGTCGAACCATATGATGATGACGAGGACGACGACCCAGGTGTTATACCCAAAAGAATCCGACAAGGGAAAAAAAGTGTTTACCTTCACCTCGAGTATGTCTAATACCGATGTAACCATTGAATCCCAAAGA